CCGTTTAGGAAAAAGCTCTCTTGCGTAAATGTTTTTGCGCAAAAGGGCCAGTGTAGACAGGCAGCAAAGACGTTTTGCGCAAAAGCAAGCTAAACGGAAAAAAGCCCTAGTGGCTGCTTGGAGACTCCGTAGCCCCAGTCAGCTCCCGGACTTCCTGGTAACCCGAGCCCCCTTAAAGCAGACACAGGCTGCTAAGGTCACGAGGCAGGAGCCCTCTCGGACTTCTGGCCAGAGGTCTGCCAAGTGGCCCCTGCCATCCTCAGCCACCCCAGAGCACGACGGCAGCTCCAGGGGCTACTAAGGTCACGAGGCAGAAGCAGTTCTCAGACCTCTGGCCAGAGCTCTGCCACATGGCCCCTGCTGTCACCAACACCACCCAGAGCATGATGGCAGCTCCAGGGGGGATCAGGAACCCCCACCCCCAGCACAGGAGGCCCCCAGGGCCAGAAAGAGACCCTGGTTGTAGGGGGAGCTGGAAGCCCTCATGGACCTCTGGCAGGAGGAGGAGGCCCTGCACAGCACCCGCAATGTGGACATTTTTGCCCGCATGGCCCAGGTGCTCACCCAGCAGGGCCATCCAGCCTGGACCCTGGAGCAAGTCCTAAGCATGAGCCCTCCCCCCCCTCACCAGGATCACTGAGGCGGGGGAAGGAGACACCAGCAGCAGGTCAGAGGATGAGGCCAGCACTGCCACCCTGCAGGCCCCCTCTGGCAGCCCCAATGTCTCCCATGCACTCTTGGAGGCTGAGGAAGGATCCACTGGTGAGTATTGCACTTTGCACTCACAAGGGGATGGGGACCCAGGTGCCCGGAGAGGGAAGGGGGACAGCACGTCACGTCACTCAGTCCACGTAGCATTAGGCGGTAAGCAGCATGTGCAACCATGTGCAACCTGGTGACCGAGCGGCGTGTGGCCATGGCAGGCAGCTCCAGGGAACGCCTGGGACAGGAAGGATCCACTGGTGAGTATTGCACTTTGCACTCACAAGGGGATGGGGACCCAGGTGCCCGGAGAGGGAAGGGGGACAGCACGTCACGTCACTCAGTCCACGTAGCATTAGGCGGTAAGCAGCATGTGCAACCATGTGCAACCTGGTGACCGAGCGGCGTGTGGCCATGGCAGGCAGCTCCAGGGAACGCCTGGGACCGTGCTGCTCACACACATTCAGCGAGTCCAGGGGGGACGGGTGGATGCTGGCTGGAACCAGCCAGGGACTCAGGCCAGAGACCGCACCCCTG